AAACGTTTTAGATGAAAAATTGGTATCACACTGGGAGAGGGAGTATGGAAGAAGTGAATGTTTTCAGATACAGTGGACCCTCGGGTAAAGGCTTCATTGGTTAATGCCAAAATCGGCTTAATGGCTCACTTTGGTGTAAAAATGTTGGCTCGGCTAACGCCAAAATACTCGGCTAAGGGCTTTCGACCCGAACGTGTCCGTGTGGCCTCAGCGGGCCCGGCCGCTCCATGACTCCGTGTACAGCCAGTGTGCCATTGTTTACGAGCCAGGGAGGACGATTCCATGCATACAAGCGATATATAACAAAAAAAAGGCACAATACCATGACTGGAACGATATACAAATAACCCGCACATAGAAGAGAGGAGCTTACGACAACGTTTCGGTCCGACTTGGACCATTTACAAAGTCACACTAACCAGAAGTGGAGCACGACGGCTATATATAGGCAAGAAGAGGTAGTGGTGGTAGTAGTAGTAGTAGTAGTAGTAGTAGTAGCAGTAGTAGTAGTAGTAGTAGTAGTAGTAGTGGTAGTAGTGGGGAACTAAGGAGGAGCAGCCAGTCAAATATAAAGACAGGGGAGCACTGCAAGGGAGCTAGGTGCCCACAGAGAGAGAGCAAGTGCACAGAGGTGGGGGGAAGGGGAAGTGATGAAATAAATAATGAAGGAACAGAAACACACGACAGAAGAAAGACAAAAAAAGGAAAGAGGAAAGGGGAAGAGGGAGAAGAAAAAAAAATGAGGAATCAGGTTAAGTCACGGGTGTTCTGAAGTTTGGAGCATTTTACAATGTAGTGGGAGAGGAAGGCATCTACAGAGACGAAGCCAGGACTACGATTCATACAAGGAAAGTTGTGTATTAGAGAGGATTCAACAAGACGGCTCCACTTCTGGTTAGTGTGACTTTGTAAATGGTCCAAGTTGGACCGAAACGTCGTCGTAAGCTCCTCTCTTCTATGTGCGGGTTATTTGTATACAAGCGATATATTTAGTATTAAGATAAGATTTCGTTCGGATTTTTAACCCCAGAGGGTTAGCCACTCAGGATAACCCAAGAAAGTCAGTGCGTCATCGAGGACTGTCTAACTTATTTCCATTGGGGTCCTTAATCTTGTCCCCCAGGATGCGACCCACACCAGTCGACTAACACCCAGGTATCTATTTGCTGCTAGGTGAACAGGACAACAGGTGTAAGGAAACGTGTCGAAATGTTTCCACCCGCCGGGAATCGAACCCGGGCCCTCCGTGTGTGAAGCGGGAGCTTTAGCCACCAGGCTTGTAACTGCTAAATAAGGCACAGTGGGCCCAAAGAAAGCTTCTAGTGCCCAGCCCTGTGATAAAGAAGGAAAGAAACACAATAAAATCCAAGAAAAAACCCATAGCAAAGTACCAAAATGGAGGAGGAGGAGGAGAGGGGAGAATGTGCTTTCTGCAGTGATTCTACAATATGTACGATACTAAAGCAGCAGGTATCTATAAAGGCTATAGTGCCAGCCAGTAAGCAAGTAAGTTAAGTGAGTAAGATGTAGAAAAACGACACGAAAGTAACTCTCCAATGTTGTTTGGATGTGTAGGGCCGCTGAACATACTCTGCCCTGCTATCTTCCACCACCCTAAACCTCTGCCAGCAGCATCTGCATCAAACTAATTAAACTAACATCTCCTCCAAGGTAAGTGTAAATATAAAGGTGTAAGTATAAAAGTAAATATAAGTGTAAATATAGAAGGACCCCAATGAAAATGCGCAAGTCACTGACTTTTTTTGGTTATCCTAGGTACTTTACACATATGCTGCTATGTATGATAATCTACATACGTAACTGTATTTGTGTAAACCTGAATAAACTTACTTATTTATAAATTAAAATGTAAATATTCTTATTTATAAATTAAAATGTAATATTTCTTATTTATATAAATATACATGCATTGTTTAAGTGTTATAGTGGTGGTGAGTATCTGCTGGTTGCCTCCACCACCACTTATGGTACGGCTTCCCCTAGTGGCCCTTAAAAACCCAACAATACTATTACACAAAACTCATTTACTCACTTTCATACATAATGACATATTTTATTCATTCTAGAGTATATATCCATGTTCCTATGTTATTAAATATTGTTTATAATGTCCTATTTGATAATTGTGATAGATAAATAAGCCCCTATCGTGTCCACCATATACCAAGAAGTTAATTAAAGGTAAATGTGATGTTCAAATGTTCATTTATTCCATTTTATTTAGTGCTTTGTATTATTTCTGGTATAGTCCTTGTGGCTTAGCCTTCTTTCATATTGATTATAATAATAATGTATTTATTTTTGCCGGAAAATTCCTTGCCATGCTAGTTGTCCCGTGGCCCCCTCTGTATTAGTATTTTATTACATAAACCACACAATAACCAAAATCCGTAAACCCCGCATTGTAATCCTTGTAGAGAATAAACTTTGATTGATTGAATGATTGATTTGTCACTGCTTTCTGTATCTATATTTATATTTAATCATTAAAAAATAATTTTTTGTTAATTTTTGGCTGTACTGAAACGGATTAATTGGATTTCCATTATTTTCTTTGGGGAAAATTAATTCAGCTAAAGGCTAAAGTGGCTAAAGACTAGCTCTTGGAACGGAAGATGTCATAGCTAATGTAGCAGCCCAAGCACTGACTAACTCATTCATTCGCCCCTGTGGTAAGGATGAGGGTGCGCGATCTGCCCCAGTTTCTGTTCCCTTAATTCTGTTAGGTAAGACACATAATGGCAACAGTTAGACAACTTTATTCGCGAAACGTTTCGCCTACACAGTAGGCTTATCAGTCGAATACAGAAAGTAGGCAGGAACAGTAGAGATGTGAAGACGATGTAGATCAGTCCATCACCCTTGTTAAGTCGTAGAATTTGAGGTTTGTCAGTCCCTTCCCTCGGCGGCCTGAGAAGTTCACAGTTCCATAGTCAGGACTACTGAAGATCAAGCGACAGTGCGGAGACTTAAATACTGTCGGAAATGAGAGGTGCAGAGTATAGTAGTATAGTGAGAATGTAACCACTGAAGAGGATGAGAATGTCATGTCCCTCTCAGATCCAACAACTTCTCACTTGAAAAGCTTGTCCAAGGTGTTTTCTGTACCAAGATGCCATGTGTTGCAGTCTGTACAAGAAGAACATCAAAATGGTATCAATAACCAACAGGTTGTTAGGTAAGACACATATCAACAGTTAACAAACTTTATTCCGAAACGTTTCAGCCTACACAGTAGGCTTCTTCAGTCGAATACAGAAAACTTTCCCTGTATTCGTCCTGAAGAAGCCTACTGTGTTAGCGAAACTTTCGGAATAAAGTTTGTGTAACGTTTGCTATTTGTCTTACCTAACAACCTTTGGTATTGGTTATACCATTTTGATGTTCACCATTAATTCTATTTATGTCCTCCAAGCCCGCTAAGTGGGGTTGGGAGCATTAAGACCGTAGACAAATTTTTCCCATGTCATGTTATTGCCGCAGCCTCTGTCATAACGCTTCTCTGGCAAGCAAGCAAGGGCAGTTTGGAAGAAGGCCTCACATTCAGGGGTACGATGTTTTCTGTAGGCCAAGGCCTAACTGCGAGCAGTACGTTTCAGGTACGAAGTTTTAGAAATCATTGTAATAAGTATGTTTTTGAAGGAGGGTATGATTATTAGGAAGTTTGTTTGGGTTTAGAGTAACCAGGAGGTTGCAAGTGGCGGCTCTAAGTAGTTCTTGAAACGCTCACAAGATCATTGTTAAAGGTCTCTACAGAGGAACACTCATAGGAATTATACAGTCATCACATTGCAACAAAGTCATCAGCTGATCAGTGGGGAACATTAAAACGTTCCGTTTGAATAACCGCACCAGGAAGGTAGTTATTTCAAATATCTATGATGTTTAGCCTAGTGAAATGATCAGAACGCTATATCTGTTACAATGGAAGACTCACAGCTGTCAGAAGTAATGTTGAAGAGCCCAGCACAGATCAAGGAACGCCTCCAAAGATATGTGTTGGGTTCAAGATCACCTAACATTTTGGGACATTATCATGACTGATTAAGAAGTGACAACAGTTGATTACATTACGATTATACCAAACTGGTGAGTTTCCCATGCTTTGTGGACCTCCGCATAGTAATCGCCCAATAATAAGAGTGAGCTCAGAATGAGCACAAGTTTGGGGAGCTCCAAGTAATTAAATTATCAGCAGGCAGCCTACAAGTTAAATATGTTGAGAGCAGAGTTCCCAATATAAATCCTAACACCGTGATATTGTACCCCTCTGTTTTTCATTGTGTGCAAGCAGTTGTGGGGAATCGATTCTTTTAATATATAGAAACAGACAAGAGTTAGTAGATTTGAGGTTAATCAACAAATGATGGTCATTTAGGGGGTTTGGGATTTTTTCAGGGACTCTGCCTCTTGTAACACACAACATACAATGGTTTCGGTGTTTACTTTATGATGAAGGTCATGAAGTCTTTTTCTAAGTGAATGCAATATTCCAGCTTTACTATAGAAAGTATAAATGCGAGTTTTTGATCCATTATAGGTATCCTGGATCATCTCGAGTTTCTCAGCATATGAAAAATTGTTCATAAAATAGCAGACCTTACAATGTCAACAGTGCCACCCATGTCCATGAGTTTTGTAAGTGCACTTCCAGTTGTTAGGCCTCTGGGAGTCTTTGTAAACCCAGAGCATCGACACTGTTTATGTGTGAATGTATGATAGGTGACACCACCACCACTCACATTCCCATCCTCCACTAACATTACACGCAACACTACAACAGTCATCCACCAGCGCCTCTACCAACATTGTGTTCCAATACATTTATCAAGCAGTACTGTATTCCAACATTAAAGATCTAGTGACTAACCTCCTCACACTCTGCCCACCACCTTATATTACGCTCTGATCACTCTTACTAACATATATAGACACCACACGCTCTCATCACAATGCACTCTTCACACCACTTATATAACGCTCATCACAATTACTAACATTATAGACACCACCACTCACATCACACTCATCACCACCACTTATATTTACGCCTCATTACTATTACTAACATTATAGACAACCACCGCTCTCATCACACACTGTCACCACCCACCTTAATTACGCTCATCACTATTACAACATTATAGACACACCGCTCTCATCACACTCTTCACCACCACTTTATATTACGCTCATCAACTTTTACTATAAACGTACATTATAGACACCACCCGCTCAACACACACTCTCACCACCACTTATATTACGCTCATCACTATTACTAACATTTATAGACACATTGCCCTCATCACACTCTTCACCACCACTATATTACGGTCATCACTATTACTAACATCATTGACACCATACCTTCATTATGATGCTCACACAGTTATCAACACAGTTTATATTCGCATTACTGTGATTAAGAACACACCACCACCTTGTTCACAACCTAACTTGCCTTTCACAAATGTTACAATCTTTAGTGGTACACTCTAACACATCTTTCCTTGTGTTGTTCAAGTGTTGGTTTCGGGAGAAATTGTTGTGTTTCCAGTACTTTATGCCGACATCAGGTTGTATACCACAGAGCAAGACTTTGGAACATCTGAGACGTGAATCCCGTCAGCTGAGCTCTTGGCTGACGTCAGCTGACTCAGCTAGGCTGTATTGACAGCCGACGTGATGGAGAGTCTGTTGACGTGCTCCCCAGGTGAGGGTCTCACCCCATTGTCTGAGGGCAGGAAGAGCCAGTATTCAGACCCAGGTACCTGGTAGTCCTGGGGGTCATTATGAGGGGACAGGTGAAGTGCGGTTGCTGCGATGCATCAGCCCTCACACTGCAGCAGCATGAGCTGCTGTGACTCCTGAGGTCTTACATTAAATACTTGTTTAGGCCAACGTCTGTTGCGTTTGATCATACAACACCGTTCAGAAGGATGAGCATGGCACACACTGCACACCAGTGTGACTTAGATGGGCATTCCTGGAAATGTGGCCCCAGACGTTGACACTTAAACATCGACGTTGAGGAGTCTGTACAATGCAATGTAATAGCGTCTGTTGAGGGCTGCGCGGGAGTGAATATAGCATGGCAGAGTCCCCTGGCCATCCACTCAGCTAATATCAGACCGTTGGAAAGTCGACGAGGGCTTGCAACTTGCTCTGACGCCAGATATTGGGGAAATTTCAAGTGCTTGTTGACGTTGTAGATGACAATAAGCACTTTAGTGCCCTTGGTGGGGCTGCTCGGAGTTTGATGTTGGCATATTCGCAAGTGAGAAGTTTGTCTATAAATGCTGAATTCATTAGGCACAAAGACATAGTTATCCTCATCGTGGACAAACTTGATCTTTTCTCATGATTGTTCTACACTAGCATCGAAAAACCAGTTAAACTTGGTCCTCTTGATCATGTTGTCAGGGAAATCTAACTTACAGCTTTTTGGAGGGTGTGCGCCCCACTGTATTGTTTCAGCAACTATTCTCTGGAAGCCTCGTCTTTTTTCCTAGCCTGTTTACTAAATATGTTTCAAATCTGCACTTCAACCCATCATCTATGTCAACACCATCACTATACTCATAGCTGAGCAGGAGTTTCACACTGTCGATGGGCTAAAGATATATACCGGAGAATAGAAGGGACAAGGAAGGGATAGTCACCTCGCTTAACACAGGCAATATGGGTTGTATTGGCCGCGGGTCGCAGTGCGATTTTCAAGTTCATATCACGGGGCCACGTCGTCTCGAGAGTTACCAATATGGCACTACTCGTAAATTACTCCAAACCCGCAGCCCTTTAAACACAGCTAAGCACAACGTGTCTAGAAAACAGACCAAATTATCACTCTGTGGGAATAAACAAATTAAATCAGCACAACATAATCTGTTTATAGATGAACCTCTGGCCTCGGTTACAGTTAAAAAGCCGTCACCGAAGGAGTTACCAGGTACTAGCCTTTCAAAACGGAAACTAATTCAGTGTTTTCACTAGGTATGTCACAACTCCACAGCCAAGAGTTCTAACAACACCGAAGTACGGCCGAAACACTGTAGAACTTCACAAAGGCATTCTGGGATTCAGAAGAGATGTAACTGCAGTGTAACTTGACCTTGGCAAGCGGCTTGGAATGCTGTTTAGCCTGATCGTTTAAACTCGCCCGTATCCGCATATGTAGG